TTGTTCTCTGGATATTTATATTCAGAGTCTTAGGAGGGATCGAGAACCGTCAATCATCCTGTACGAATTTATACTGGGGCTACCAATGTCATTTCAGATATATGTCCGTTCTTCCATACTTAAACAAAACGTCAGAATCTATTATAACCTCCGAGACTTTTAGCCAAGGTAAGTGAATGTCGACCCAACCGGTAAAGAACGACATTCGAGCAACCTATGTGATGAAAGACATTCTAATGACATCGTTAGACACGACATTCGAGCGACCACTGCAAGCAAAAATGAGTCGACTCGATTAAAATTAAAATTGAAACGACACATTTAAACAATAAATGGAGCTAGTCATAGCGTTTCTTGGAGGAAATCCTGGACCAGGAACTCGAAGAGTAATAGGAGCACTGCAAACGTAAGCGGTGGACACGAATCAAAACAGGAGGAGCAAATTGTAAAGTTAAAGATACTAATTATCGACAACATATCGTCATACCTCATCGATTCGAGCGACCTCATCGATGAACGACATCATTAGAAAACATTGTCGAGCCACCTGCTGCACATACATTTGCAAGAAATACACCGTCGTTAGAGACGACTCGTTTAAGGCTCAGCCTAACTCGGTAAAAAACAAGTAAAGGGGGGAAGCCACTATGTTATAGGTGTAATAAGTGGAGCAATCGATTGTCCAAAACGACTGCCGATCCCGCGAAACACTCTACTCACTCCATCTTTACCTTCTTCGCAGCAGTGGTCTTCTTGTGAAGTCCCCCACGGACGATCTTTGGCGTAGCGGTCTTCTTCGAGGGAAGCTGTACTTCACATGCCTCAGTTATATCCGTTGTTGGAGACAGGTCAATCTCCCTTGTTCTCTTTTGTTGATTTGAGGAAATAGATCCTGCGTCGACATGTTTCTCGTCAATGGTCTGGCTTTTGCGAGCGGACGAGGTATAGACTGCATTCGTAATTTCGCAATCGAGGTCGCCAACCTTAGAAGGACTGTTGTCGGTGATTTCACTTCCGCGACCAGGCGTGTTCAATGTAGGGCTCTCGATTTCAGGCTCGGGGTCGTCGAGCTTGGTGACCGTATGGATACGGGATGTGTTACCCTGTGCCAGTTTGTTGTCATACAAACTCAAGCCGGTTACACGCTCGACAAAAACTTCAACACCATCCGGTATTTGAGTGATATCTCCAGCGTTCGAGTCTCGGGCTTTGTTTGACCACACCGACAAGCGAAAAAACATCTCTGCCTTTTCGTCGAACGTCATCGCCGGCAATTCTTGCTTCAACTCGGGCGTCAATGTTGTTACTTCCTCCTCCCCGAGCCAGAGATTCCACCCACCGGAGAACTCCTCGCGAAACGCGATGAACATGTCGAGGCTGATACACGGCGGGGTTTTCACAGAGTTGATTTTCTCAGCGCCAGGCTTGGAATTCTTCTCAGCGGCAACGACACGAAGCATATTGACGATGTCGGACACTTTTTCGTAGGTTGGAGCGCGGGTTTCTTGTTTGTGATCGAGTCGGCGTTGCAGAAGCTGAGTGAGCTTCATTTTACCTTTAGTTGGACGAACAAAAAGTGAGCAGTATTGAGTGATGATTAAAGCTCTACTCGCTTTAGGGTGCACGGTAGTAGTGTAGAGTATTTTCAATACCTTTGATAGCCACATACACTGTAGATCTATTTTTTGAAAGCGTTGGACCTCTGTTGATAGAGGAAGCACATTATGGAACCGTAAACGTGTGGACGATAAATATCATACCATCTTGTCAGCATTCTTCAATGCAGAATGACATTCTAACTTTATATGGAACGCTCGTCAGGGGGAATCTCAGTTGAACGCAGGTACTGGGCTATATAGAACGTCTTGTTACCGTTTTCTATAATTCAGATGGTTTATCTACTTGTATAACTACTATTAGAAGTGCTCTGGTTGTGTATTGTAGTAAGATTGTACTTGATTTAACTAACATACTTCACTTAATGAACATGGATCACACTAAAGCAATTACATCCTAATTGTATTATTCTCTTTTCGAGCTGAAGGAGTTTCTAGACACCGTAGAAAGTGAAAGTCACAAGCTGTCGGCTAACGAATTTAGTATTGATTTATCGAATCGTTCCACAATCACGGCCGTCTTTACTCAAACAAAATTTACCCTCTATCTACTCCAGGAATATGTGATTGTCGTACGTCTTGATATTCTGTAAAATACTTGGCTCTGTTGTTTGCAGAATATGCATTTGTTGTATATATTTTTCATTCAGCTATTTACTCTCCACACGTCATGGATCCTCTCTGGCCACCCGGAATCCTCCGAATCTGGGCTAACTTCTTTAATGGGAGCTCAATGCGCTTCCACTTCCCTGAATTGGACAATTACCAGTGTTCTTGCTTCAACCGTATGTGCTCCAATGAAATCGGCTCGACGTGTGAGCACTATCTCTCCAATTACCTTTGTAATGACGGAAACTGCAACGTCGGTCTAGGATGCGGTAATCGGTTTATTTGCACTCACCACTTGTACGTTGTCCATACAAATACTGATTTGGGGCTTTCGTCGACCACGCCATTGCAGACGGGGGAGTTCGTCGTGGAGTACGTGGGTGAGCTTATTTAAAGAAAAAATGACACCCGTAACATCGACTACATCATGGATCTGAAAACACGAACCAGATATAACGAAAGATTTTACATTGACGCCTCAAAGTGTGGAAATGAATCGAGGTTCATTAACCACTCGTGTGACCCTAACTGCCAATGGATCGATTTCCAGTCTATTGATGGCATTCGAGTTGGTGTCTTCACACTTCGCGACATTGACATTGGTGAAGAGATAACAGTCGAGTACACACCTCACGGGTTACCGTTCAAGTGCTTGTGTCGCCAGCCACGCTGCCGTGATAGTCTTAGTTAAGCTCAAACATGCACACTTTCCTCTTTTGAAATAAATCTGTTTTCGTGTCCAAATGTGTTTTACTTCGTTGTTTTCAGAGAAGCAATTAAATGACAAACTAGATTTACACTATTCGATATCTTGTCACATCCAAAATGTGACGCCGTGAAAAATATACACCATCCATTCTCCTTGGTAGACAAAATTCACGTTCCGGATTATGGTGTTGTAGGTTCGACATTTCGAACGCGTGGCGTGTATTGAGTACGTTTCCAACTTTACCGTCGAATATGTACGCTGCCCTCATTGTTGGCAACGCCAATTTCACATCTGCACAAAGCTGCAATGGGCTCAAATCCATCTGCATACACTTGCACTTGTGTGCACGATAATAACCGGCAAACGCGACTAACGCACAAGTCCGCACGCTGTCCGAGATGCGCTGAGGTCGATGCAAACGAAACTAGTTTACGTAACCACTCACGGAAGCGAAATTCTCGAGCAGCTATGACCGAACAAGATCGAATAGATGAACTCGTTCGTTCCAGACGTCGTATAGCAATGCGTGTAAAACCTGAAGACGCCACGATCAAGGCGGTAAACGAGTTTTTGAGCTCATTCAGCGATGTGGAGAACCGGGTTTATGAGCGTGGAGGCACTTGCTTGTCTAGTGACGCAATTAAAGATCTGGTTTGCTGTGTCTGTGATTGCCTTCATTCGGCGGGGCGAATTAAGTTGGTAACTCTCCAAAAAGACAGGGTTCTCCTCAATATCATGAAATTACGGCTTAAACCACCGCCCAATTTACCACTTGGTATTCGAGAATACTACGATTTATCTGGAGTGGATACTGCATTCGAAGGGATGATGCTGGGAAAGCGTGGTGTTGTTGCGCGTGATCAGCAAATAACCCTTCAGATGTGTGCATCGTGTAAAACGTCTTTGATGGATAAGAAGAGAATTAACCCTCCAAAATTTGCCATTGCGAATGGTCTCTATATGGCGAGTTTACCCGAAACACTACTGGATAGCACGTTTACGGAAAATGCAATGCTTAATCTTGCTCAACCGATGCATTTCATATCGGTCGTCCGTGGAGGAAAGCACGCCTCCCTTCGATCTCATGCGTACTTTTTTAGAGCGAATCCAGCACCACCAGCCCAAATTCTTCCGAGAGATGTTGTTTCAGAAGGCGTTATTGGTGTCACCATAGTCGGAGCAATGACATCCGCACAAAAAGCTGCAACCCTTAAGAAGTACGATGTTCGTCTCTCGCGACTACGTCAACAATTGCGTTGGTACAAAGAGCATAACCACTTGTATAAGTATGTGGAAGAACAAGAAGACTGGGAGACTTCTTTGTCGACTATTGCTACACGGGTTGTGGTCGATCAGGCTCACGAGATTCCCCCAGCTGCAATGGCGGTCCCCACACACCGGACCTCTAGTAACTTGGAGGAAACGAAAGAACACGAAGAATATTCATTTTCACCTCGTACTCAGAACGGAGCGGGAGGCAGGCCAAGTTGTCCAAATTCTGATGGTACTCTGCAAGTAATGTGTCTCCCCGTGGATGAAGACGCTATTCGGACAGGTACTATTCCACACACTGAGCAAACTATGCACGATTTACCTTTATTGGGCTGCAGTGGTGGTGATGCGCTCGACAACGCTACGTGGAGGCACAATGCACCTGCGCCAGCTCACCACATCGTGACGGAAGAAGACGAAGTATGTGAACAGGTCGCGGACGGCCTAATTACTGACTTTGGACAGGTTGATAACACAACCAGTGTTCAAATGGCGATCGACAGATCACACCTTGTCGTACATCGTTCGTCCAGCATCCTATCGGATTTTGATACTGCTTTTTGGACGAACGCATTTACAGACTTATTTCCCTATGGAAAAGGTGGTCTTGATGAACCACGCGATGTAAAAATCGGTTTGCAGGAGTTTATTAAGTACTGTATGAGGCACTCCTCACGCCGGTTTTGCCAGCATAGATCCTTCGCAATGGTGGCGTTCGACGTATTGGCAAGGCACAACACGCTCCAAGCTATTGCAATCAGGGCTAGAATGCGACCAGGAACGATGGAGCGGTCATCTAGTGTGTCGAGAGAACAACTTCAGAGCTACGTACAGTATCAACAAGATCGACTTGAAGCCATAACACAACATCTTCCACCCCCACCAGCACCTGAGATTGAAAATCGAGTTTTTGAACTGTATGACAATATTTCAACAGGATTGAGGTCATACTGGGGATCAAATGAGGAGCGTACACAAGCACGTGCAGACCTTTTCTCGATGCAGCTGAAATTTGGACAACCGACAATATTTTTTACAATTTCACCCGACAGCTCGAGTACTTTTCGAATTGCGAACTTGGCTGGAGTGATAGATGATGACGTTCTATCTCACATGGAGGCTAGTGTGAGTGAGTGCATGGCTTTCACCAGGGCAAAATTGGGTCAAATTGCAGCAGTAAATCCGTATATTTGCGCACGGTAAGTAGTTCTCCACGTGCTGGGTATGATTGAACGAACTAAGTATCTGTATGGTTGCTACAGGTATTTCGACTATTTGATGAACATGTTTGTGAATGTGGTGTTGAATTGGAATATGGATAAAGGCTGCCCTCGAGACGAACCAGGACTCTTTGGCCATACTGTTTCCTTTTTCGCTGCAACAGAATCTCAAAATTCCACGGGTTCACTTCACGCACACATGCTGATATGGATTAAAAACATGCCGTCAACGGTCGATGAATATTACGCTATGTGTGCGTCTGAACGTTTTCGCGCAGCGATGGTTAAGTACGTGGAGGCAATTTCGACAGCAAACGTACCGCTAGATATGGAAAAGTGTCCCTCTTGTGAGAACGGCACGATTAAACCGCTCGAACTACAGCGTCTTGCTTTTAAAAAGCCTCGTGCTGGTGCATCGAGACCTGCGACTAGTTGCTGTGATTTCTGTGGAGTAAACTTTGGAGCTGACGAATTAATTGTAAAGAGCTGTATGCACGCCACTAAAGACGTCAATGGTCTCGCCTACGATGACGCCAAGGTATTCCAAATCATTGCCAGTTCTCGGCCGTTGCCTCGCTGTTTTGATCGGTTATCGGAAGAAGCGATCGTTTGCTCTCGCGCATTAGTATATCATCAGCACCACCATTGGTTTCATACTAACTCTTGTTTTAAGGCCACCAAACGAACACCCAATGGAGACGTTTGTCGGATGTTTATGCCTAAAGAGACGTGTACCGAGACGAAATGGACACCCGAGGATCGCATTGAAATAAAACGAGGTGCTGGAAACGAGTACATTAACCCATATTCTCCGATAATTAACGCTTTGTTCAAGTGCAACCACGACATCAAATTTTTAAGCGCCGGTGAAGGTACGTTGGTTCATTTGTTAGCTTTATTATTAAATTGTGCTGAACCCAGCGCTATTCTTCGAATACAGGGCCTGAAAAGGCATACTATACGATAAAGTATTCAACCAAACATCAACAGAGCCTTGAGAATCCTTGGGCACTCCATCTTCACGCATTCGACAAGACCAACAAGTTCGCAAATGACGCAGCGAACGATCCTGCAGCTGTAGGTCGTCGTCGTGTACAATCCATGTGCTGTACACTTTCTAACCCCCATGAGATATCTGCTCCGATGGCCTGCTTGTATATTATTAAGGGTTCGGCTATGTACTCGTCACACCAGTTCGTCAAATTACCAGTGGCAATAATTCTTAAGGCATTGTTTGACCGGGAAGGCGAGATGGATGTTCTTCTGGAAGGCGACAACAATCATCGCAATTTTAAGCCTTCCAGTATATGGCTGGACTATGTATACAGGCCAGCAGGACTCGATTCTGTAAATCTGATGACTTTTGCGGCAGAATGGAGTCGAAAGAAGAGCAAAAAAGGTATTCGGTTTTTGGAAGAGCACCCGCTCTACGAATCGCATAGTTTATTTCGTGTGGCGACAGAGCGTGTTGTGACAGTCAGTCACAAGCGTCTCCCAGACACCCGACAAACGGATCTTCCAGAAACCGAATTGCTTCGTTACCAACAAACATTGATGGCATTATTCTGTCCATTTCGAGGTGCTGATGATTTTTCTACAAATGGAGCATCTTTGGGTCCTACTTTCGAGCTCTGGTGGGCAACGGCGGCATCTCTTTCAGCTCGTAATTTCGTTAAGAATAATCTGGATTATTACGTTTCACGAGACTTGCTAAAAACCCAGGAGGACCCAGAATCCGCTCGCTATCGGCGCTATGAATCAAGTTTAGATGATATCGAAGACTTCGTGGATGTAAATGGCGATCTGGAAAGTGACGATGAAGATACAGATAGTGATTTACATAATAATGAGTCTGACAGCTTCGATGAAGTTGTATGGGCACCAACCCAACTGACAAGACACATTCAACAATTAGCAAAATCAACAGATTGTGTGGATTTAGCTGCTTCTTCCACCGTCGACCCTATAAGTAGTGTTACCGAGATATCTATGACGGTCGACGATGTTGAACAGGTTCTCCAAGAGTTAAAATCTTCCAGCCCGCCGACAAATTTTGGTCCCAACAATGCGACTCTACTATCTGAGTATCCAGATTTTCCGACACGAGTCCAGCTCTTACAACAAGCCACTGACATGACACATGCGACAACGTCGATCGAAAATATTAACTACTTGTCCGCACCGCCTGGAGTATTAAGTGGGAAGGAGATGCCAAAGATGTCACTTGAACAAATATCTTTGTCATTGGACTTGAACGTAAAACAGAGAAAAATGTTCACTCATGTCGGAAAAAAATTGCTTTCCTCGCTTTTACTGGGTCACGACACCAATGAACAAGTTATAGCTTTTCTTGGAGGAAAGCCTGGAGCAGGCAAAAGCCGAGTTATTGGAGCCCTCCAAATGCTGGCACGGACATGGGATTCTGCAGAGTCTGTAGCAACCGGGGCCTATCAGGGTGTCGCTGCTCAAGCGGCAAATGGACAGACGATTCATAAGTTGTTCGGGTGGTATGTCAACAATAAGAAGCCGTGGACACCGAATCAAGAGCAGAAAGAGCGTTTTGCGAGACTGAAGTTGCTAATTATTGACGAAATCTCGACATGTGATGTTGGTATTCTTGGTAAAATTGATGCGTCACTGCGAAAATTATTGGACAAACCAACACTACTTTTTGGTGGAATTCATGTTCTATTGGTTGGCGACTGGCTCCAACAATTACCTGTAGCTGGACAGCCTGCATTTCTCACTCTAGACGAAGCTGTACCAGTACGCCGAAAAAATTCCTCGGACTACCTTGATAAGATCAGAGGGTTAAATGCGTACCGCTCACTCAACTGTGTCGTGATTCTGACTGACAATATGCGTCATAGGGAAGATCCTGTCTGGAAAACAATGTTGGATAAGTGGAGGCTAGGCAAGTACGATAACGCTGACATAGATCACGTGAATAACGTTGCCTACGACCACAACTGGACTTCTCGCAATATTGGTACAAAGTGCTACTGCCCGATTATTGTCACGTCCAATGCACTTCGAGCAGAATTCAATTCATCCGCCCTACGAGCTTTTTGTAAGCAGTCTGAGACGATATTACATCGATTTCCAGCAACGGTATCAAGACCTCGTCACAGGCTTACCAATGCTCAAAGAAGATCACTCGACTGTATCCGCGATGACAAAACTGGAGGCATGTCTATAGTATTGGAATTTGCAGCCGGATCGATGGTCCAGTGTACCAAAAATGTATCTTCGCAATTTAAGCTGGCGAACGGATCCATTGGCTCCGTTGTAGCATTTACGTCTGCCTCTCGAGATGCCATTCAAGTTCGTACAGTCAATGGTATACAAGAACACCACCATTCGCTTCCGCCAGATATCGTCTTCGTGAAGCTGAAAGACTACCCTACACGTTCTTTCTTGCCAGGTCTGCCACAGGGGGTAGTACCAGTCTGCAAAAAAAGTGAAAGAGGGGTTCAAGTCAAGTTACCAGATCGCGAGTTCTCGATTTCGATTACCCAAGTTCCTCTGGTTCCTGCTTACTGTCTTACAACTGAAAAATGCCAGGGCCTCACGGTAGAGAAAATGATCCTTGGTCCTATAAGGCATTCTACACGACTATCCCCTCAGCGCTCATCATTTTACGTGGCAGTCACGCGGGTCAAATCTTTAAACCAGCTATATCTTATGTCACCACTCACAAAGCAGTTTTTAAAGTATTTTAAACCTTCAGCAAACGTGCTGCAGGAGACCACTCGACTCGAGGCTATGGAACTCCCATAACTATCCCGCAATCAGATTATTCTTCTTTCGTTTTGCATCAATTTCGGTACGCTTTGCATTGGTTTTCAACACTTGAATAAAAATAAAAACAATAACGTTCGCCGCAAGTTGTCTAGCCTACTACTATGTCTGCAGCTCCATTGAACCCGTAGTGGATGCAGCAATGAATGTAATGCAAAACAATCTGTTATGCATTTCGTTATATGTACATTCAACTTTTTTAAGTATTATCTCAATGATCGCTGGATATCCTGGCTTTTGCCAACTAGTAGTAGAAGTGTGCTTGAATTAAACGAAGTAAGATATCACAAGCTCCAAAAGTATACGAAGTGGTAACTAAGTTAATATTTTTTATTAGTTTTCTCGTCGTATATGGTTATGGGCGCGATAGACCGCGCTCAGTGGAGCGCTACACTGGAACGCCACCGCGACATGATACGCACATGGAATAGTAAGGTATTAATTTATATTAGGGATACTTCACTTCTACTCAAGGGCATGTAGTGTATCAAAACTAAAATTTTGACATTTTAATTCAAATAATACTTCTCACATAAATTTGTTTAAAGTGCGATAAGGCTTATTAAAGTATGTAGTATGTACTTCGAAGTTGTATAAATGCACAAGACATAAAAAACATACTCGACGCTGGCTACCACAGCGTCCGCAGATTCCAACCTTAAGATCCACGCAGTAGGCCATTACTGCCTCGGATATGTTGGTCAGAGCTCGACGGGTTGATATGATACAGCGAGGATAAATACTATGTACGAATGCGTTTAATATAGTCAGCACTAAGCAGCAGTTATTCATCAGGAACAAAAGAAATCACGATTCTCAGAGTCACACGATTACCGCCCGCTTCTGTGGCCTTCTGACCACGTTGGTGGTATCGGATTTATTGACCATGACACCCAAGTATACATGGCGTTACTTTGTCGGAAGTGTTCATGTCGAGAATATCTGCGTACAGTAGTTCTTTGTTGAGCCTTTCATCAAAGCTTACCGATAAATACCGGTACGTAACGTAAATATCCAGGGCTTCCCGGGCTACGCACGGCATTAGTCATAATGATCGAGTTTTTACGAATGTTGCATTCAATCCGAATTTTACGGTATCCAGAAAACTTTGACAGAATTTATTGGTCGTAATACAAATTTAAATTATGACAAATAAATTCTGTCAAGACGAGAGAGCGTCCCGGCTTTTTGTACTCATGTGTTGAATGTGCTCATGCATGGCAACAATTTTCATTTGCATATTTCGTACCCAACCTCTGCGTACAAGGAATGCGTCCAATCCCACATCCCGCCACGGCGATTGGCCACCATGATTCATTTATCAGCCAATCAACGGCCGCAGACGACATCATTTCAAGTTGCATGCAATGCTGATGCTCCTTCAAAAGACCTCGCCAAAGTGTACCGTATCCGGCCATTTCCCCAATCGCCCGACCAGACGCGCGTAGCCACCATGACTTCGGTGAACTCGATACCCCTCACGCCGCCGCCTCAGCACGAGCACGAAAGCGAGACGCCGTACAAGGGCACCCCCGTGTGGAACGTCAAGGCCACTATCGTCAAGTATCGTGTGGCTCTGGCCGCTGTACTGCTTGTGCTCATCGTGGTGATCGTGTTGGCAGCCTGCGGCGTCTTCTCGTCCTCATCGGACGATTCCTCCTCCTCTTCTAGTGCCTCTACCACCACAGG